CATCCATAAGAACATCAATAAAAGCATTTTCAAAGCCACTATAATCACTTACATACTGTAGGTGGCCACCAATCATACATGGAAATGTGGCGGGACCTCTCACATTTCAGCCAGGCTCAATGTTGTTTCGTGCTACCGTGCATCCTCGGGAGCCTCAAATGTTTGCCTCTTACATTACTACCCAGGTTTGTCACTGAATTGCTAACAGTTAAAGTGGTTCTAAAGGCAGAAAGGTTTTGACCTTAATGCATTCTCTGCATTAAGGTAATATACCTTCTGTGCACTGGATCCTCCCCTGCCCTGCTTATACTTACTTGAGCCCAATCTCGAACCAGCACTGTACCTGAGAATAGCTCTCTCTCCTCACTGGCCGTGGAGGCAGCAGTGGAAGCCATTGGCTTTTGCTGCTGCCAATCACAGCCTGTGAAGAAAGAGCGGGGGCCTAGCTGCTATGTGTGTGTAAATGGACACAAACATTGTGGCTTGGGATCAAGCATGAGTGAACCCCATAGTAATCAGCTTGCTATGGGGGCCCTCAAAAGGGGTAAGGAGAGAAGCATCAGCAGGGTTCCTGAGAAGAGGGCTGCTATGTGCAAAACCATTCCACAGAACAAGTGGACCATGTGTACCATGTTTGTTATTTTTTTTTTTAATTCCTTTTTACTATCACTTTAAAGTGGTAATCCAGTCATAACTTTATTTTACACTTTTAGACAAAGTTGTGATGTGTTTTACCCTCTGTGATATTGATATATGTGTCTTTGTTGAGGGGATCCACCCCCTTTAATAGTGACCATTGTCAGAATGAGAATGGAATTTTTGATTGTTACAGTTGTCCCCACTCTGTACAAAAAAAAGTGTTTTGACCATGTTGTGTCCAACGTCACTGGAACCAGTGTGGAACACAAACACCCCCTGTACGGAGTGACATCTCCTAGGTGTCATCACTTCCGGTGCCCCACCATCTTTGGTTCCATGTTGGTACCAGCGGCGTTTGGACACACACCGCTGCTCCTGATGACCATTCCATCCACCAGACCACCACGGAGACCTTCCTACATGTTTTTTAAATGCCCAGTAATATCTGTCTAATAGTGAGTTCCCAATTTGCTTATCTTTAATAAATGGAACTGTCAATATACTGCACTTAGTCTGGCGCCTCTCTGTGTTCTTTTTTCATACAGCTTACAGAGCCTCGGCTTCACTTTGGAGGATGCTGCTACTGGTGCCCATACACTATTCATATTATGGACATTTGATGGACTTATATCACAATCTATGTTTTGCTTGTATGACTATTTGCTCCTTTACCACCCATCCCCTCTCCTTTTTTCTCACCCCCTGTAATGTAGAGCGTTGTTTGACTTGCTGACCCACTGGTTAGCCTGGTTGGTTGATGATTGGTTTGGCACATCTCTTCGTAGAGTCTTGAGGTGGTTCTCCAAAGCAAGGGAAATGGGATGTGGCCCCTCTGAGGTTAGCACTGGGATTGTGGTGCAATGGCAGTTGGTGGCGCTCATGTCATATAGTTATATCAGTTGCCACCATTGGATGTGGCAGCATGACGGGACCATAAATTGCAGAATGAGTTGGGTGGGTTCCAGAGCTCTGACGTTAGAGCCCAGAAGGGCTTGCTGGGGCATTGGTTGAAATAATGTGGGTACAGTGGGCGGGATACTTTTCCTCATGGGTTGAATCTGGCTTAGTTTACCAGACTTGTCTCTGGTTGAAGGCAGGACTCTCAATATGTACTAATTCCGCTCTGGTAGGATGAGGCTTCATTTGTGTGGCCAGGGAATGCAAGGTTCAAGGAGCCTCACTTTTGCTTTTCTTGCACACACCTCTTAGGCGGGCCTTACACTTAGTCTGGCAAACCATTTTTATGCTGCCTAAAAGGCCTGATTTTTTACAGGCAATAGCACTGACTGTCCATGCAGTCTGTTTTTGTAAAGGATAAGTTCACCTGTTCCTGTTTTGCAGGTAAAAAATGTGCATTTAATTATTTTTGTCTACAGGAGCCTGTAAAGCATTTCACCAGTGATCAGTAGATCGATGATGCCATGCAGGTCTCCTGCAGACCTGTCAGAATATCTGCTTGCTGTACGGGATGTATGAGTGAACAGATATTGTGACAGGATGCTTCAATTAACTACCACAGTGCTCAACAGTACCATGGTAGTTCATTGAAGACTAAAAACTGACAGCTAAGGCTGTCGGGACTTGCAGTTCATTCATTCACGGAAGTCCGTGAATGAATGATACGGCTGCGCTGTTTTCAAATTTGTCAGATAGTACGGGAAGACTTCTCCCCATACTATCTGTCAGAGGGAGGGGGGCTGTGGGCGGAGGCTGCCGCTATGGGAACATGTTACATGTTCCACCCTAAAAACAGGTGGCACATGTAACATGTTCCCAAAGGTGAATTTATCCTTTAAGCATAGATACTGAGGATGGAGCTTATGTTGGGGGGAAGATCTGTGGCCTTTGGATCTTTTGACTCTCCCCAACCAGGGGTCTCTCTTCAGGAGAGCCCTCCAATAAGTACTAGGGGGATCAGCTTTAGCAGGTTCCTAAGAAGTGAGAGAACTCTTGCTCTTCCACAACCATCCAGCACCAGTGTGCACCACCACCATAGGTTTAAGGGACTCTTACTGGAACAAGAAGACTCTTGTCCACCCTATACGTTTTGTCACAATTGATGATGCGTCAATTGCGATGAAACGCATAGGGCAACGCAGTCTGACACAAGGAAAGGAACGGCTTGTCTCTTGGGACCAGTATTTATATATATACAAGTGCTTGTTCATGGTTTAATTGTGAGTGGTTAGAATATATTTTACAATAAATATGTGTTTTATGGTTTTACACTATGTGAGCTTCTCTGTCTTTTTCAAGTTCTTTTAAGTCCTGACGGTTTTTATGTAGCAATGTGTAGAAGGTAATGTGTCCGTTGTGGATGATTGATTGAATCACATGCTCTCTTGACTCTTTCTATAACAAAGAGTCTACTTGTTCCTGTAAGAGTCCCTTAAACTTATGGTGGTGGTGTGCGCTGGTGCTGGAAGGTTGTGGAAGAGCAAGAGTTCTGTCACTATATTGTTTTTGATGTTGGGACTTTGATTTCCAATAAAATGGGGACTTTGAATTTTCATTTTTATTTTTCACACAATTTTTCTTTTGTTATATGCATCACTTTGAATATTATGCACATACTATTCAATAAACACTGCAACACAAGGATTGGCTGCAAAGGTGTGAGATATGTGGACATGTACTAACTTGGAGTCTAGTTATATAGGGTCAATTCACTAAGAGATAAATACCGCATTAATTTTTTAGCTAAAATAACTCATGCGGTATTTATTTCAAAAGTAGTCAATTCACTAAAACACATGCGTTATTTACCAAATGCATTAAATATTTACGTTTTGAAATATTTAGCACTTAAATTTTGCATTATTTCACAATTTCATTTTGCAGGCTAACATTGTACCAGAATGCACCTAGCAATGTTGTGAAACTATGAAAACATTCTAGTATGCTCTCATTCACAAAATGATCTCCCTCTGATGAAACTTTACAATTTATTTTCATTCCTGAGCTCACAGGAGAACATTTTTACACTGATACATTGTATACTTTTCACTTTCTGGACAGTTCCTCTAATTCAGGGGTCTCCAAACTTTTGAAACAAGGGGCCAGTTTACTGCTCTTCGTATATTAGGGGGGCAGGACTGTGGCCAGCAAGAGTTTGAAAATGCCCTTGCATTGGTGGGAGTAAAAAATGCCATAGGCTTTGTGGTTAGTGGGAGTTAAAAAAATTACATCTCTTGTGTCATTTGGAGGACTGGTGTCAGTGGGAAGAATAGTGTCCCATTATTGCTGTCAGTGAGAGGAATAGTACCCCATCATTGGTGTCATTGGGAAGAATAGTGCCCCATTATTGGTGTCCATGGAAGGAGTAGTGTCCCATCATTGGTATCAGTGGGAGGAATAGTGCCCCATTTTTGGTGTCATTGGAAAGAATACTAGTGCCTCATATTAGTGTGGTATCAGTGGGAGGAATAGTGCTCCAAGGAATAGGCAAGGGCTGGATAAAGGCAAGCAAAAGGCCACATCTGGCCCAGGGGGTGCAGTTTGGAGACCCATGCTTTAATTGTTATTTTGTACATTTCTAAAATACCGCCAGCAAACACCTGGTGATAAATATCGAGTGTGTGTGTGTTTTCATTAATTGACTTTAATGATTTATCTCATGTTTTTTGCAGTATTTATCTCACTATTTTAACAAATGTGCAGTATTTGCCTCAAATTGGTATTTTACTTTGATGAATTGATGCTTTTATTATCTCATGCAATAATATATGCAAATGAGTCATGTGACCGTGTTATCGCATGTTGTAACTTTTAGTGAATTGACCCCAGACTGTGAGAATTCTGATTTCTGAGCTTTTCATTGTAAATATTTCCAATGCAGTAGGCCTATTTTGTTGATCCTGGAGACTGGCTCAGGCTACCTGCTTTTAAATACTGGGGCAAGCATGGAAATTTGGGTTGAGTATAAAGCTCTATATGTAGCATTGCTGTACATGTGGGACTGCTGCCTATGTGTATGTACTGTATACAGTATGAGGTTGCTATCTTTGGAGACCCTCTAGTGGTAAATATTATGCATTACAGGTGGACAACTTTTGATGCTACTTGTGGTAGATGGGATGTACCTAAAAAGATGGATGTAATGGCAGAAAGTGATGCGTGTGTGTATGTGGAAAAGATTTTGACACATTCCTGGAAGTGATATCTAAACAAGGGTGAGATTATGCAGCATACTTGACAAATGAGGCTAGATAAAGACTTTATGTAAATTCCTCATTCACTTTTATACACATCTCCATATCCCTTTATGTTGCTTCTTAGTTGTTGAAGGCAGAGGAGGGATTTATAAGATTGGATGTGTCAGCCCTATAGGCATCCAAGTAGCTAAACAGTTGTGGTATATTCAGGGGCAGACTGACCATTTGGAAACTCGGGCACTGCCCGAGGGCCCGGGGTCAGTAGGGGGCCCCATGAGATGCCCCTGGTACCTTTTTCATAGGTTTTTTTGAGTTTGGGCAAGGACACAGGGGCCCCATGATCCCCTATTGCCCGGGGGCCCTATGAGTTGTCAGTCCGCCCCTGGGTATATTCTTACTCCAGAGGTGAGATACAGTACATGTACAGTATATAGTATGAACGATAGTGTCAGGATGCGGAACTGAACGTGGAACCTCTGTGGAGTCTGACTGTGTATTTTCTTTCTGTTTTGTGTCTTGTTTCTGGTGAACCTTTAACTGTTTGCTGCTTCCATGAACTTGTACATTTAAGCCATGTCTCTGCACTTCCTGTTTGCCAGATTATTGTGTTCCTCTCCAGCCAGTATCTCTCTCCTTTCACTCCTGCTCAGGGGCGGACTGACCATTTGGAAACTCGGGCACTGCCCGAGGGCCCAGGGTCAGTAGAGGGCCCCATGAGATGCCCCTGGTATCTTTTTCATAGGCTTTTTTGAGTTTGAGCAAGGACACAGGGGCCCCATGATCCCCTTTTGCCCGGGGGCCCCATGAGTTGTCAGTCCACCCCTGCTCTGCTGCTGCAGTGCATATCTTCACTACCACTCGTTACCAATCTTTGGCTTGTTTCTCAACTATGCTTCTGCTTGATCCCAGCCTGCAGCCATTTGTTACCGACCTTGGCTTCCCTCTCAGCTATGCTATCTCTTGATCCCAACCTGCAACCACTTGTTGCTGACCTTTGGCTTGTTTACTGACTATGCTGCTGCTTGATCCCTACTTGCTCCATCTACCACAGGACCCCAGCTTGCTCACCATCTGGTGGGGTGATACTGAGGACTACAACCTGGCATTAGCATGCAACAAAACCCATCTCTACCATTGGGAGCTCTGGTGAAGACCACTTAGAACTTAGATGCCGCACCTCAGGTGAGCTTGCATCATCCACCAAGGTGATTTGCTTGTGTACTTATTTTGCTGGTTGGTGTGAACCTCTCTACTGCTATAGCTGGTGGTCTCCAAGCCTGAGCATGGCAAATAAAATGTATTAGATGAGAATTCTAATCTTTTTTACATATTCAGTATGTATACAGTATATCTCTGAATAGGAAACATGCTTTTACCTTTGGATGCTCCTTACCTGTGTCTGCAAATGCCTCTATGCCCACCCAAAGAGTGGTTTATAGGTGGTTCTGCTTTTGATATAAATATATAAGGAATTACAACAATTGTCAAGTATGTTTCTATTATTGATAGATAAAATAAACTCACTAAATTTGCAGAAGTTTTCTCTTTATATCTCTAAAAATTTCCATCATAAAGAAGTGGATTAAATCTGTGAAATGTGTTGCAAGGATAGCATCTTACCAATTTCCATGATTATGTTCTATACAGTATGATACAGAAAGTATGTAATACAAACTGTAAATACGTATATACATGGGGCAGTAGTGGTAGGCGTGCTGTATAAAACTGATATAGACAGTAAAACTAAGTGTGTGATATTCAAACGAGAAGCAGAATGTTGTTATGCCACAGACCCATTACCTAATACTCCTGCTGTCTGGCTCCAAAATCATAAAGCATATGAACTACACCTCTAAGACCTCATCAAGAAAAAACAATGCTGTACACTATACAGGAAGCATTTGAGTATTTTAGATTTTAGAAACAAAGTGGGCAAACTTATCATATCTGGCTAGACCATAATGGGCCCCCACTTCGATCCCCTGAAGTTTGACTACTTCGGGTTCTCTTAGTACACTCCCCCCACCCCAGATGCCTTCATGTCATTTTACTCTAACCTGTATACCTATACTATCCTATACTCTGATATACAATTTTCTTATTATTTGGGGACTGTCTCCTTCCCCTCCCTATCCCCATGGATGCGATGAGAATTGCATACTCCAATATCTACAGACCAAATCTAATTTGCAATCTCACAACTGCCCTCCCATAAAACTGCCTTTCCAGCTCAGCGGGATGCCATATTTAAACATATCCTGAGCTAGTATTTCCTTTTGTTGCACCTCTGGAAGCTGGTGTTCTCCCACCCTCTAAGAGGGAAGCACTCATTGTTCATATTTTGAAACCTCATAAAGACCCCAGTAGATGTGATTCTTATTGTCCTATCTCATTGATTAACATGGATGTTAAGATCTTAGAAAAGGTCCTGGCCAACCAACTGAATAAGGTATTCACTCATTTGGTGGACGGTGATTGGGTGAATTTAGCCCAGGATGGTCCGCCAGAATTAATATTCATAGGCTTTTTCAAAATCCAGAATATCCCCATACCCATATGCAGGTGATTGTATCATTGGACACCCGTAAAGCATTCAATAGCATGGAGTGGCTGTATCTGTTTCGTCTGCTCCAGCTATATGGTTTTGGACCATGTATAATTGTATGGATTTTGCTTTTATATACTGAGTCAATAGCTTAGGATGGGGTAATTACTCAAATTTCTTGTCCTTTTCCTATTTAACAGAGTACAAGACAAGGGTGCTCTTTGTCCCTGTTATTATTTGTCTTAGCACCTAGCTGTCTGCATCCATACTTCCTATGGATACACCTAATATAATGGATCTGTCCATTGGTACTTTAGAGGAACCCATTTCATACTGATCTATTTGGCTGACCCCAATGACTCTTAACGCTGCATGCTGCAAGTGATAGAGGAATTTGGTGATTACTCCAGCTTTCTGGTTTATTGTGAGAAGTCCAACCTTTTCTCTATCAATTAGCAGCTAACCAGGTAATTCCACCATGCTCACAGCTTCAAGTAATACACTCCTGTACATATCTTGGGTGGTGATACAACTAATTTACACAGCTATATACAGTGGCAAGAAAAAGTATGTGAAACCCTTGGAATAAACTGGTTTTCTGCAGTGATTTGCTATAAAATGTGATCTTATCCTCATCTAAAAATTCTGGAAAAACCCTCTGCACACTGCTATATACCCTCTCCAGCAAACTTTGCAATAAAAAATAGGGATTTTTAGTTCACACATAGGCAAAACATGTTTAAGCTGGCCAACTGCGTCAAAGTAATCCCTTTTGGCCAGCCTACTGTGCTCTGCCAACGCAGACGCTAAAGTGGACACAATGCCAGCATGGGACAAACAGACACAAAGTGGGGGAGAGCTGCTAGGTTTAGGTCTGGCTACTGACCTGCAATGCAATAGAAACAAGATATACCTGTGCTCAAATCCAAATAGCTTGTACATGCATTTATCTATCAGGTGCTAAAGGGGGCTAGCAATCTGTAGATTGTGACTGGTAGATCATGGCCTGGGCTTGCTGACTCCTCATCCCAGATCATCAGAGTGTACTGCAGAAGGACTACTTGTAAAGTTGGAGCTGTAGTAGGGAGCAAGAGCAACATAAGCCAATGTTTCCACTGTAGTACTGGCTCCTGTTCCATGTGGAGTGATATCAGCTGCACTCCACCTCTTATCTAGCGGTCTCCAGAGTGGTGCCAGCAGCAGGAAAGAAGAGATCTTCAGGTCAGTGTGAAGCAATATACTGGGCATAATAGTATGGGGCTGTTTTCACACTGATGCTCTGCAGTTTACCCACACCATGGGTGCAGTGCAGCTTTCCTGCGGGTTTTCAGTGTGTAGCCATAGACTTCTAGTATACCCTATGGGTTTGGTGAACTGCGGAAGGCAGGTGGCAGCACCCACCAAAAGCAAAAGGGGGTTTAATTCCTGCTGCAGCATGTGATCACCTTTGGCTGCTGCCTTAGCAGCTAAAGGAGATAGGGATTGGGAGCAGTAAAACCGTTGCTCAACCACAGAGTTTTGACCCCCCCCCCCCCCCACAAGCACACACACTTTTACGTGTGAACAAGCCCTAAGGGTGCTGCTGCCGAATGCAAGGGTTCATTCACAAGTGCAGCTGGTACTGCTGCTCCTCTGAAAAACGATCCAAGAGTGTTTGACGGGTGGTGAGGAGGTGATATGTTACTTCTTCACTACCTGATTTGAACCCATAATTGCCATGCAATGGCAATTAGAGGTTTAAATCAGGTGTGAGGAGGCGGCACTGTGTCCTGTGATCTTTGACGTCTCCCATGTGTAGTATATTGTGTGTAATATATATATATATGTATATGTATTGAAGATATTGAAACACATACTGTTCATTCTTGGACAGGCCAGTGATAAGACCACTTTACACACCAGAAGGACTCCTTACTATGTTAATGTATGCACGAGGTAATTACCTTCCCTTTGTTGTGTTGGGTTAACCTGTCTTTGGGTAAATATATGGAGAGTCAGGGGAAGTTTCAGAGCAGGTTATTTGCAAATAGATTGGGAAAAGTATTCATAAATATTCATGATGTGCTTGTTTATGGTGAAGAGAGCAGATTTGCCATAAACAAAACAAGTAGTATCTATTTAACTTTTTAATTAAAAACTATGCATACAGCTATTCTAGGTCTAGACACATAAGATCAAACATGTTACTAAAAGTGGCCAATCAGAGTGCTTGCCATTGTACTGAATGGGGAAAATGTGTATATTAACTCAGGTCAAAGAACAAAGGTGACAGAACACAGGTCAGGATACGGGTGACAAAACACAGGTGACAGGACAGGTATAGATCATAACTCACATTATTGCATGCATGGAAGCAACCTCGGTGCATATTATAGATCGGGCATATGCTGGACGGTGTACAATGCTTGATATGAAGTATCTTGAATGGGACTTTGAGAGCTGTTGTTCATTGTAACATATACATGTATTCAGCTGGATTTCTGTCATCTGTAACAAATATCTTTATCCGAATAAATGCATCTCTCTGGAAAAGAACTGTTCGTTGCTGCGGGAAAAGCACATATAGAAATATACAGTGGTCATACGTCCTCCATTATTGATATAAGACAACACCATGTTGTTCAGGTAGATCTCCACCTCTTTAAGGTTGCCTACTCCTTCAGTAGAGCAATATTCTTCAGCCAGTAGATGGCAGTGTTTATAAGTTTGTAGCTGCATCTATGGTAAAACTCTTTTCTCTGAATAAAAAGTTTCCTGTTTCCTTGTTGTAGTGAAGCAGAAAAGCACATGTGGACTTTGCACTCTCTGTTCTGTAGGGCTATATACAGAATTTCTAACAATCAGAATTGTAATAGCAATGCAAACGAGTTATTTTTTAAAAATGCAATGTAAGCTTTCCTAAAAAAAATGTATTTCCTGTTGTGAACAGTGTCTATCTTCCAGTCATCTTTCAACAACTTCTTGGATTCCCTGCATGATTTGGGTGCCTTCTCAGCTGTTTCATGTGGTTTACTTTATGTTTCTTTATGAGTGAAATTGAAATTTTTTTTTTGATTAACCACTAGCCTACAGGCACTTATACCCCCTTCCTGCCCAGGCCAATTTCCAGCTTTCAGCGCTGTTGCACTTTGAATGACAATTGCGTGGTCATGCAACACTGTACCCATATGAAATGTTTATCATTTTTTTGTGACAGATAGAGCTTTATTTTGGTGGTATTTAATTAACTCTGGAGTTTTTTTTTCTTAAACAAACCACTGAAAATTTTGAAAAAAAAACGTTTTTTTCTTAGTTTTTGTTATAAAATTTAGTAAATAAGTGATTTCACTGATGTGCGCTAATGAGGCTGCAGTGATGGGCACTGATAGGCTGCACTGATGGACACTGATAGGTGGCACTGATGGGCACTGATGAGGAGGCACTGGTAGGTGGCACTGATGGGCATTGACAGGCATCACTGATGGGCACTGAAAGGCAGCACTGATATATGGCACTGATAGGCGGCACTGACTGGCACTGTTAGGTGGCACTGATGGGCACTGATAGGTGGCACTGGCGTGCACTGATAGGCGGCACTGACTGGCACTGATTTGCAGCACTAATTGGCTTTGATAGGTGGCACTGACTGGCACTGATGGGTGACACTGAAAGGCAGCTCAGATGGGCACTGATATGTGGCATTGATGTGCACTGGTAGGCACTGATATGTGGCATTGATGTGGCACTGATGGGCACTGGCACATGGCACTAATGAGCACTGACAGCTGGCACTGATGGACACTGACAGGTGGCACTGCTGGGGCTACACTGATCATCAGTGTACATGTCCTCTCCACGGAATGCCGATTACCGGCTCTCCTCTCGAGCTGTCAGCGTGACAGCTCGAGAGGAGAGAAATGCCAATAACCAGCATTTCCCTGTTTACATGTGATCAGCTGTGATTGGACACAGTTGATCACATGACCGAGCCGACATCTTCGGCTCTTTCAGTGGATCGAGGGACACAGCGCACCGTCGATCGCCGCGGTGCACGCTCTGGGAGCCACACATGCGCGGTTAGAATGGGAGGATGTCATATAATGTCCTCCCAGAACGAGAGAACCACCTTACGTCCATCATATTACTATATGGTGGGCGGGAGGTGGTAAAACAAAGTTTCACCATCTGTGAAATTGGTAGTTTGCAATGAAATCTAAATAAACTGTGCAATCTTTAAAGTGATAACAGTGAGCAAAATACAAATAAATATTAATATTCAGTCCCAACATGTGAATAATTGGTGCAACGGTGCTGTATCTAACGGTGCTACTCCATACTGAAATGACAAGTGCTTCACTGTGTTCACACTGGTGCCCCACATAGATGTAAACTCACCGTCATATCATGACCACCTATCTCTAGGTAAGTCACACCCTGAAGATGATATATTGGTCGAAACCCGTCGAGGGCTTATGACGCAACTTCTGCTGACATCACTTCCAGTATTTGGAATGCACGCTGGAATGTGGCGGCCATCTTAATTCCCATTCATAATACACAAAGCTGAATACATCTAGTGCCAGGAAATTAATTTTTTCCCTAAGCGCAACAGCACCCCTTTTTTCTTTCAAACATATTTGCAATGAAATCAGTTTACAACAGCCACAGTCATCCCACTCATCTCTACTGTTTCAAAACTCATTTATGCTGATTTAGTAATACCTACCTGTGCCAAATACATAGCAATATCCTGCGAAGGCCTCATGTACGCATGAACTCACCTAGTCGTTAAACTTTCTTGGCAGCAGAAAAACGCTAAACACGGCAAAAACGTACTGTGTTTAGCTGTGTTTAGCTGTGTTTAGCGCTTTTTCATTTATTCATTTGATTGACATGGATAAACGGTTAAGCGCTAAACACAGCCAGCATTTAGCCGCATTTACACGTGTTTTTGTCGCATTTAACGTTTTTCGGCCAAACCGTTCCTCTCTTGAATGTGACTATTCTACGTTCAGAAGAGAAATGTGTTTACTGCCCCTAAACTCTGCTGCTCCTAAACTTTGTCATAATCCTTTGTGTACATGGACACATAGGCTTTTATTGAGTGGAGTTCAGGGGCTTTGGAAAAAAACTGCCAAAAGCTCCTAAATTCACGTTTAGGAGCAGCAGTGTACTTGAGGCCAAGCCTACAAAAGGTTTAAAGGGTAAACATTTTCAATACTTCTTCTCTAATGTAGCTAAGGTAGTAGTAAAAAACCAATGTTGAAGTTAACTCCTCTCACTGTATGATAATGTCTGGCTTCTATAGATTCTAGACATGCTAAATATTACATAAATCCAGAATTAACCCTTCCTTCATTAGCAATAAGGAAATTCTCTCTGTTAATTAGATCTTTATATTCAGGGGCAGACTGACCATTTGGAAACTCGGGCACTGCCCGAGGGCCTGGAGTCAGTAGGGGGCCCCATGAGATGCCCCATGTACCTTTTTCATAGGCTTTTTTGAGTTTGGGCAAGGACACAGGGGCCCCATGATCCCCTATTGCCTGGGGGCCCCATGAGTTTTCAGTCCGCCCCTGTTTATATTAGACCTTACATAAAAATGTAACCTTCAAGCTGGATTGACACCAGAGCATAGCAGAAAATCATGTTCCTACTCACGGAACTTGGACATTTTGAGCATTTTTCTAGCATTTCTGCTCGTCACACATTAGCAACCCATTCACTTGAGGCTGCATGCTTGCAAACAGAGCTCACATTCTCACTTGCATTTTTCTTGCACGTTTTTCATGCGTTTCTGTTCGTTGTTCATAGGGCAGCCCATTCACTTGAAAGGGCTGCTATATGCACAACAAACATGCCAAAGAAGCTCCAAAACTTTTTTTTGTTCTGAACATGACATATTGTTTTTGAGCATTTGTAGCGCTTTTGCCTCTTAAAACACTCTGCAAAACACTTGCCTGTTACCCACGCTTGGTGTGCTACTAAAAATTTATTAATTTGCAGAGCATTTTCGAAAACTCGCATTTTCTGCGCACTGAGTTGCATGTTCTAGAATAGCCAGGTGTGGATTAAACCTGAAAGGGCCTACACATGTAAAGAACCATAAAAATCAAGTGGGACTTTACTGGTACAGAAAGTGGACAACATCATATTGTTGTATAAAACATGTTTATTGAAAGATATCTTCCAAAAATTTACCATAAAAATAGTATTTTGACTAATCAGCCCAATATATCACAGCATTATATTTATATTTGCAGGTACAGTTGCAACTCACAAGAGAAACATCAAGCACATAAAACCAGAAACAAAGCAAGTTTTCATTTTTATCTTCAAAGGCACTTTTCTATATGAACCTAAAAATAATCATCAACTTTTTCCAGTAACAATTTTCATTTAGCTCTCTACATTCATTCAGTACACAGGTTAGTAATATAATGGAGATGAAATCCAATGAGCTGTGAAAAAGGAGATATACTCAGGTTATACTTCATTTAGAAACACAATAAAACATTATAATTGTTTTTCCTATATCAACAAAAAAAAAGCAATGCATTTACAAGGACCAATATGAAGATATAATAATGTGTAGTTTTATTAGCTAGTACAGCTTGTGTATATAGTGTGTGTGTGTATATATATATATATATATATATATACAGTTGCAAGAAAAAGTATGTGAACCCCTTGGGATTACGTGGAGTTTTGCATGAATTGGGCATAAAATGTGCTCTGAACATCATCTAAGTCACAACAATAGAAGAACACAGTCTGCTGAACATAATACTACACAAACATTAGATGTTGCCATGGTTTAATTGCACATAACATGCAAACATTCACAGTGCAGGGAGGAAAAAGTATGTGAGGCCCTAGCTTAATGACTTCTCCCAGAGCTAATTGGAGCCAGGAGTGAGCCAACCTTGACTCCAATCAGTGTGATGATATTGGATGTGTTGCTGACAGCTGTCCTGCCCTTAAAAAACACACACCTATTTTGGGTTTACTGGTTTCAAGAAGCACTGTCGGATGTGAACCATGCCTCGCAGAAAAGAGCTCTCAGAAGACCTACGATCAAGAATTGTTGACTTGCATGAAGCTGGAAAGGGTTACAAGAGTATCTCCAAAAGCCTTGATGTTCATGTGTCCACGGTAAGACAGACTGTCTACAAATGGAGAAAGCTTAGCACAGTTGCTACTCTCCCTAGGCTTGGTCGTCCTGTAAATATGACTCCAAGAGCACAGCGCAGAATGCTGCATGAGGTAAAGAAGAATCCCAGAGTGTCAGCTAAAGACCTACAGAAATCTCTGGCACATGCTAACATTTTTGTTGACACATCTACAATAAGGAAAACAGTAAACAAGAAATGGAGTACATGGGAGGACACCACAGAAGAAGCCATTGCTGTCCAAAAAAATATTGCAGCGCGTTTGAAGTTTGAAAAAGAGCACCTGGATGTTCCATAGCGCTACTGGCAAAATATACTGTGGACAGATGAAACCAAGATTGAGTTGTTTGGGAAGAACACACAACACTATGTGTGGAGAAAAAAAGGCACAGCACACCAACATCAAAACCTCATCCCCACTGTAAAACATGGCGGAGGGAGCATCATGGTTTGGGGCTGCTTTGCTGCCTCAGGGCCTCGATGGATTGTTGTCATTGGGCGGGGAAATTAATTCCAGAGTTTATCAAGACATTTTGCAGGAAAACGTACGACCATCTGTCCGCCAACTGAAGCTCCACAGAGGATGGGTGACGCAACAGGACAATGACCCAAAGCATACAAGTAATTCAACAAAACAATGGCTGCAACAGCACAGAATACACCTTCTGGAATGGCCCAGTCAGAGTCCTGACCTCAACCCGATTGAAATGCTGTGGCATGACCTTAAGAGAGCGATTCACACCAGACATCCCAAGAATATTGCTACACTGAAACAGTTTTGTGAAGAGAAGTGGTTCAAAATTACTCCAGATCGTTGTGCAGGTCTGATCTGCAACTACAGGAAACTACAGGTTGAGGTTATTGCTGCCAAAGAAGGGTCAACCAGTTATTAAGTCCAAAGGTTCACATACTTTTTCCTCCCTGCACTGTGAATGTTTACATGTTATGTGCAATTAAACCATGGCAACATCTAATGTTTGTGTAGTAATATGTTCAGCAGACTGTGTTCTTCTATTGTTGTGACTTAGATGACGTTCAGAGCACATTTTATGCCCAATTCATGCAAAACTGCACGTAATCCCAAGGGGTTCACATACTTTTTCTTGCAACTGTATACACACTGCTCAAAAAAATTAAAGGAACACTTTGAAAACACATCAAATCTCAATGGGGAAAAATATCATGCTGGATATCTATACTGATATGGACTGGGTAATGTGTTTGGAACGTAAGTATGCCCCATCATTTGATGGAAATGAAAATTATCAACCTAGAGAGGACTGAATTCAAAGACACCCAAAAAGATCAAAGTGAAAAAAATGATGCAGCAGGCTAGTCCATTTTGCTGAAATTTCGCTGCAGCAACTCAAAATGGTTCTCAGTAGTTAGTATTGCCCCCCACGTGCTTGTATGCATGCCTGACAATGTCGGGGCATGCTCCTAATGAGACGATAGATGGTATCCTGGGGTATTTCCTCCCAGATCTAGACCAGGGCATCACTGAGCTCCTGGACAGTCTGAGGTGTTCTATTGGCTTTAGGTCAGGCAAGCGTGGGGGCCATTCAACAGTATCAATTCCTTCATCCTCCAGGAACTGTCTCCATACTCTCGCCACATGAGGCCGGGCATTGTCATGCGCCAGGAGGAGGAACCCAGCACCCACTGCACCAGCATAGGGTCTGACAATGGGTCCAAGAATTTCATCCCGATGCCTAATGGCAGTCAGGGTGTCATTGTCTAGCCTGTAGAGGTCTGTGTGTCCCTCCATGGATATGCCTCCCCAGACCGTCATTGGCCCACCACCAAAATGGTCTTGCTGAATGATGTTACAGGAAGCATATCGTTCTCCATGGTTTCTCCAGACCCTTTCACGTCTGTCACATGTGCTCAGGGTGATCCTGCTCTCATCTGTGAAATGCAGAGGGTACCAGTGGCAGACCTGCCAATTCTGGTGTTCAATGGCAAATGCCAATTGAGCTCTATGGTGCCGGACAGTGAGCACAGGGCCCACTAGAGGATGTCGGGCCCTCAGGCAACCCTCATGAAGTCTGTTTCTGATTGTTTCGTCAGAGACATTCACACCAGTGGCCTGCTGTAGGTCATTTTGTAGGGCTCTGGCAGTGCTCATCCTGTTCCTCCTTGCAAAAAGGAGCAGATACCAGTCCTGCTGATGGGTTAAGGACCTTTTACGGCCCTGTCCAGCTCTCCTAGAGTAACTGCCTGTTTCCTGGCATCTCCTCCATGCTCTTGAGACTGTGCTGACACAGCAAACCTTCTGGCAATGGCATGTATTGATGTGCCATCCTGGAGGAGTTGGACTGCCTGTGCAAACTTTGCAGGGTCCAGGTATCGCCTCATGCTACCAGTAGTGACACTGATCCTAACCAAATGTAAAACTAGTGAAAAACAGTCAGAAAAGATGAGCAGGGGAAAAAATGTCAGTGGCCTCCATCTGTAAAACTATTCCTGTTTTGGGAGTCATCTCATTGTTGCCCATCTAGTGCACCTGTTGTTAATTTAATTAACACCAAAGCAGCTGAAACTGATTAACAACCCCCTCTGCTACTTACAGTAACTGATCAGATTAATATCCCAGGAGCTTAATTCACTTGATGCTGTACTCTGACTAAAAAGTATTCCTTTAATTCTTTAAGAGCAGTGTGTGTATATATCTATAGCAATAGTTAATTTGTGTACTGTAGCTCATTAAAGTGTTACTAAACCCAGGACCCTGCATTCACTACATCTGGTCTCCCACAGTACACAGCACATGGAAATGCAATTATTTTAGTAAATATAAACTGCTAAATACCTTTTTCTCATCAGCAGTATATAGCAGTCTTGTGACTTATATCAGTGTCCAGCAGAGCACACGTTAAAGCTTATAGGAGGAATTTTCTTTCTGCTCTAGGAGGATGCAAAACCCCTGATCTCTGTCTGGACAGCGCTGATTGGCTCTGTGCTGATCACCTGCACTCTCCCAAGAAAGAAAAAACTCTCTAGCAATACACACCAAACTGAGCATGTGCAGAGCAACTCCACACGATATGAAGAAGGGGAGGATCAGAGAAGACAGGATTCAACAGCTTTTTTATACAACGCAGAAGATTAACCCCTTAGGTTCCACAGTGAGTATAACAAGCTTGCTTTACTCCACATACAGACTGATTTTACTGCTGAGGGTTTAGTAACACTTTAACTAGTCTTTGCAAGGATAGTTACTCTAGCTCTCACTTCGAATTCAAAGATTTTATTTGAAAATAGACCTAATCTGTAAAACTTACATAAAGTGGTTGTCTTGCTACTGTAGAACCCAATTCTTCCAGAAGCTCCGTAGTGTATATTAAAAAGGAAAAAAGAAAAATAACTGCTTCTGGTAGGGAGTAGCTCTGAGAAATTAAAAGGTTACAACCCAATGCAACGCCAATCCACCCAAAGCTGGATGGATGGCAGTGGTCTACATTTGGGATGACTGAA